CAACAAAACAACAACAAAAACACCATTAATTAAAAAAAACTTTCTTGTCATTATTATTGCGGTTTTTAAAAAAAAAAAAACTTATTGTTCTTCCGCATTCATTTAATTGCTTTGATATTTCGACGACAATAAAATGCAGCTTAAGAGACGAGGTAAAAAAATTGTAGTCAAAAGAGACTTTTTTTTAGCGTAAAAATCTCTTTCGACTACACTATAAGGATATATATAAATTTAAAAAAAAACAATTCTAAAGTGCATTTTTAATGTCCCACTAATCGACCAAAAACCACATGAATTTCTAAATGTTGTTAAAAAATTTCTTTTTACTTTGTAAGCTTATTGTTGTGAACTAAGATAATGGAGGAAATCAATTGAATGTTTATATAATGTTATATTATGTTTTCAGGTTTCGAAAAATGCTTTTGAAAATGTAAATAATCGGTTTAAATACATTGTTACTAGGATTCAAGTCAGAGAAGACAAAACTAATGTATTAAGAAAGAGATTTAAACTAACTCTTGTAAAGTATGTTGCACTATGACATACATCATATAAAAAAAAAGAAATGATTCGAGTTTGGCTTAATTAACTTTTTAAAACAATTGATTTAGTTGAATCACCAAGTAATCAAGAGAGTTTAATAAATCAATCAGCAAAAGAGGTCGACCATCAAAAAGGCCTGATGAATCAAGTTCTCGAACCAAAAGACAAACATTAGCAAAGGTATCATTTGATTCAAAAACGGGATTCGTCAAAATATTGTTAGTGGCTCAAAGTACAGCATTTAATAAACGTGACTGTAATTAAGTCAAATTACTTTGTGTCGTTACAAAGAAAGCATTACGAATTGTTATTGCTTTACTCTCAGCTAACTACATTGCTAGAGAAAATGACGTCTGAAGAATCTTTTGCATATTTATATTTTTTGGATAACAAACTTTCTTGTGTTTATGAAAATACTGATAAAGTTAAACTACAGGATCTTATGGATCACACATCCAAGTGGCTTGCGAAACTACAGGAAAAGAAAACTTTAAATTATTGGGTCGTAAACTTAATATGATCATAACTTTCAGAAAATAAAAGATTATTCAATGAAAGTTGAAACCTGTCAACGAATTTAAGTTTAGTATAAGAGAGCAGTAAAAATCTTTTTCCGGACTCATTGCCCTCATATTTGGGTGGGATAGGGGCTTAATTTTTTGGGTATTTTTGATCTCGGGCAAAGAAAACTTGTATGTACTCTTGTATTTTTTGATTTGCATAGTTTATTTCTTTGTTTAGTTGCGTTTTTGGTTGTCCTCATCCATTGCGTATGCGTTTGAGTTGTTTATCTATTTATTATTTTTCTGGTTTACTTTGCTCATTATATACACTATTTTAATATATGTACTTTTTTAATGACATGTAGTTAGTCATTTTAACAGAAATAGTTTTAGTCATTTAATTAATATGTATACAGGGCTGGCGCGAGTAGGTGTTAAGTGTGAGTGTGTGTGTGTGTGTGTGTGTGTGTGTGTGTGTGTGTGTGTGTGTGTGTGTGTGTGTGTGTGTGTGTGTGTGTGGGGCTTCAATCACCGCAAATTTTTTGCAAACCATTATACTTTGACTTAAGCATGAACATAACAAGTTTGGAGCCGTGGAAAATCATTCATTATTTAAACAATGTCTAAAAGTATAACATAAAAAATCCAATTGGAGCGCCAGTGCATCAAGGAGGTTGATTTTCCCACCCCCTTAATGCGCCTATAAGCAAGTTAAACACAAAAATAAAAATTATTATATTAAGTCTCTATTTTACTCAAATAAGGCTTCATATCCATATAAATACAATGATTATATTTTTGGCCACCATATTTTTGGTCAATGAAATGTTCCCACTGTGTACTAGTTGTTCAAAAACAAGTCGTTCAATATCGAGGCAGTACGTTAGAGTGTTGGTGACACTTCAGGAACCTCAATTTGGTGTCATGGACAAGAAGTGCAAATTTTAAGAAGCTCTCTACAGCATATTCTCAAAATCGCTTAGAATTATTTTTCTTTCTTAACATCTTAAATTGTCTTCCTATTGGGGCTCGGTGTAAAGGCAAATTTATGCCTTCTTCTTGCTCCAGCCAATTGTATACTTTTTTATATTGTTGTAAATGTCGAAAATAAAATAAAATTTAAGTCTACTTTTATATAACTAAAATATAACTTTTATATAACAAATAAGCTTAACAGCTTATTTGCTATTGTTTGCCTTAATTACATTCATAATTAAAAAGAAAACAATTTTAATTTTATAAAAATAATTACAATAAAAACAATAATAATAGTAGTAACAATAATAACAATAAAAATAATAATAATAAAATAACAATATAACAATAATAAATAATAATAATTTATTGTTATTTATTATTTGTTTATTATTATTTATTTATTATTATTTACTATTGTTTCATTGTTGTTTTATTATTATTTGTTAACTATTATTTTATCAGCGCCGAAAATAACGGCCTGTCAACTATCAATGACCGACTGCTTTTGGAAAAAACTTATTATCTCTCAACATCAACTCTGGCCAATCATATTGATCGTCAAGAATTAGCAAACTTAAAAACAAAAAATGTAAATACCTTCAAAACAGAAAGTTAGTTTTTAAAATTATAATTTTAAGTCAGCAACTAAATGAGTTATGAGATCATAACAATTATTTTTTCACAGCAAGGATGTCCAACCTTTTTACAGGCTATATAATAACTTTTTCTTTTCAGTTAAAGGCAGTTTTTTGTTCTAACGTCAACACGAGAGCCACAAGTATAAATTATATAATTATTTAAATTATATAATTACATATACAATATATGTATATAAATGGCGCTACCACACTGATGATGTTGGTTTAGAAAATGTGCAAAGCGGACTTTATATTTTGTTTGTATTTTTTAAACTGTTCTTGTTTTTTTATATTGCTTTATGAAACAAAAAAGAATTGTATAAAATTAAAGCTTTTTATTTTAATTTAAACAAACTAATGCAAAAAAAATTTTAAAATGATAAACTTGACATTGCTTTTTGTTTTGTTTCTTCTCCATAACTTTTCAATGTCTGCATTTATACTGGATGATCTTTCAATCTACTTCTCTGCTCTATTTTAACGTGCTTCATTTTTGAGACAAAATAGTTTAACACAGTTTTTTTTATCAAATTTACATTAGAAAACCGTTTACTACTTTTTGCAATATTTTCTGTGAATAAAAAGTTATTTTGGTAGCATTTTCTCAAAAGTTAAATTTTAGTTGGAGGCATATTTTTCGTGTAATCAACACTCGCCAAAATTATAGTTTAAATTACCCTAATAGTGTGCATAATTTAAAATTATGCACACTATAGTGTAATATAATGCTACAATTGATTTTGCTAATAGACCAGGTGAATAAAAAAAAGCAGTTGCTTTTACTCAACGTTTTTGGAATAATTGCTCAGCTATACGTGAATAAAAATTTGATCAAATTTTTATTTACGTAAGGTTAAACAATTTACTCCAAAAACGCTGAGTTATTGCTCAGCCCTACGTGATTAAAAATTTTTAAAAATTGATTAAGTTTTTATTCACGTAAAGCTGACCTGAGTAAAAGCAATTGCTTCTTTTTTATTCATCCGGCCTAATAAATCAAAAAAAAAACATTGCTTTCAAAAAATATTTAGTTTATAAAATGATCTTAATTTCTAAATCAAATTATTTAAAAAAAAAAACCTTGTAAAACAATGGCGTAATACGCATGGCGAGGTAAAATGGTTACACAATATTAGACAAGCATGACTAAACTTTTATCCAGTTTGATATTAAAGAATTATATATATACTATACTTTCATCTCTAAAGATTACTTTAAAATTCACTTATACACGCCAAACAATTAACAATAATTTTAGAAAAAATATTAGGTATTATAAATCACTCAGGAAAATCATTACTTTTTACTAAACACAATAGTATTGATCCGATGGCGATCACAAATAATACCGAATATGTATTATAACTTATATTTTTAAGATCTTAACCGTTTTTTTTACATTTACTATATACTTATATTCTTTATATTTTTGTATCCCAAAAACAACAACAACAAAACTCTATTTATACAAAAATTTCGTTAAATAACAAAAATACTATTGTTCAAATAGTCGCCACATAATTGTTATTTAGTTCGTTATAGCCATATTGGCGCTATTTACTAGTTATATCAATCATGAAATCGGAATGTTGTTTTTCTTTTAAGCTGATTCAATTTCCTTTCAATCATTCTCCCCCTCTTTGATAGACTCCAGTCTATCAAACATTTAATTATCAAACTCAAGAAGACACAATCTCGTAATTGGTCGTATAAATTCTTTTTCGCCAATTTTGACTTTCACAACTCTTACACGTCCATCATTACCTTCAAAGACTCCCGTAGTTCTACCAAGTGGCCAATGTCCTCTAGATGTATCTGGAGAAATTACTGTATCTGTGTATCTAGAGTATGTATCTGGAGATGTATCTGCAGAAATTACACAATGTCATCCGTTTTTATTTCTCGTTTTTTCTGATTCCATTTATATCTTCTAGATAAAGATGGAAGCCATTCTCGCATCCATCGTTTCCAAAAATGACTTAGTAGTTCTTGCACTTGACGCCAGCGCTTTTTAGGATGATAGCCTTTAGATTAAACTGAGTCAGGTGCAAATTGTCCACCAACTTGCCCAATCAAAAAATGATTTGGAGTTAATGGATTATCATCTTTTATATTGGCACTCTGATATGTTAGTGGGCGAGAATTCAATAAACTCTCAGCACCTGTAAATACCGTACAGAGTTCTTCATCTGTAATATCGGCTTTTTCGAGTATCCCATTCATTGCACGTTTGACACCTTTGACCATTATTTCAAATACACCGCCTAGATGAGGTCATAACGGAGCATTAAAGTACTACTTGATTCCTTTATCAGCTGTAGAGTTAGTAATTTTATCCTTATCTAAGTCGTTGACAATTTCGTTTAGTTCTCGACATCCTACAACAAAATTTGTTCCCTCTACCTTGCATAGTAAGAAATGGACCAGCAAAATCGATACCAATTCTAGCAAACGCACGTAGTGGTTCTTTAAAGCGCATTGCTGGTAAAGGGGCCATCAGCTGTTGAGCAGGTTTAAATCTTCTTAATTTACATTTGTTGCATTTTGCTTCTGCATCTCGGATTTCTTCTCGTCCTCGTATTACCCAATATCGTTCTGATAGTTTTGTTAATATTTGATTTGTTCCCATCACATGATTGGCTTCGTCATGGTAATGCTTAACAATCAACTTTATTATTGTATGTCCTCTCGGCAAAATGATTGGATACTTGACATCGTAGGGTAAGTAATGGGCATTTTGCAATCGACTGCAAGATCGCATTAATCCGTCTTCGTCAATTTGCGAATTTGAAGAAATAATTTTGCTTGATATCGATATCGGATTTCCTTTTTCAATGTTGCTATATTCTTCTTTAAAGCTTTCTTTTTGAGCTTTAGCTATGATTTCTTTTTCGCTTTCATGATATTCATCAGCTGTTATATCACCCTTTTTACGAAAGTCTGTTTCAAATCGACAATTTCCTATAAACCGATGGATCCAGTCGTTTATCCTGACAAGTTTTTTCCAACATGAGAACTTGTTTATATCAAGCAATTGCTTTGTTACTTCAGTGGATAATGCAAAATTCATTAATACTGAATTTTTCTTTACTTCAATTGAAGCCTCTTGTGTAACTTCAATGTGATTCTGTGGCCATTTTTCTTCTAAAGAATTAAGGAAAGTTGGTCCATGCCACCATACATAATTGCTTTCTAATTCTTTAACTGTTGTTCCTCTTGTTAGTAAATCAGCTACATTAGTTTTTGTTGGTATGTATCTCCATTGTTTTAGTTCAGTCTTTGATTGAATGAATCCAACACGGTTGGCAACAAATGGTTTCAACTTTCGACTTTGATTTTTTATCCACCATAAAACATTAAGATTATCACACCATATAGTTACGTCCATAGTTTCCAGCTTCAATGCCTTGACAATCTTCTCTGCAAGTCGTAAACCGAGGACAGCTCCAAGTAACTCAAGTCTTGGTATACTAATAGATTGCAATGGACTTACTCGGGCTTTTGATATCATGATCACACAGGTCACTTCTCCTGTGTCATATAAACATTGTTGGTAAGCAACAGCACCGTAAGCTTTACAAGACGCATCTGTAAAAACATGAATTGACCTATTTGTTACTGTTGAGGTTGTTTGTAAACATCTGGGAATGTTTATTTTTGGGAGATCGTTTAGTTCTTGAAACCATTGATCAACATTATTTGCAATCTTATCCGGAACTGCATCATCCCACACAATTCCATCAATCCACAGTTCCTGCATAATTATTTTGATTCGAATGATATATGGTGCCAAAAAACCCAATGGATCAAACAACGTTTCCATTTTTTTAAGCAAAGATCGTTTTGTATATACCGTATTTTCATCAGTTGTTATAGAATGAAAACTAAATAAATCAGGTTTTGCATTCCAGACAACTCCAAGTGTTTTTATTGCAGGCAATTCTCCAGAATCTAAATTTATATGTTCTGCACGATCATTTTCTGGTGTTATTTTAAGAACTTCGACCGAGTTTGAAAGCCACTTTCGTGCAAACATTCCTGCTGAACCCCATAGTAGCGTGAGTTCCTTGTATAATTGAATTCCTACTTTTTCATCAACTACAGAAGTTATTGTGTCGTCCATGTAAGTTGCTTCAAGAACAGCTTCAGAAGCCAAAGGAAATTTTTTTGCATACTTTCTTGCGTCTTCTTGCGTTACAAATTGAGCCATAAAAGGCGCTGATTTGATTCCAAATACGAGCCGATTAAACTGAAATACCTCAGGCTCAGCAGTTGAATCTAGGTTTCTCCATAAAATTCGTTGGTACTTTTGGTCATCTTTATGTATTCCAATTTTTAAATACATTTCTGCTATATCACAAGCTAAAGCCACTGGGTATTTTCGAAATCTCAGCAAAACAGTCACAAGGTCTTGTTGAAGTTTTGGACCTTGATAAATAAGATCATTAATTGATTTACCATTATATTTTGCAGATCCATCAAACACAATTCTGACTTTTGTAGTTAATTTATCAGGACGAAGAATTGGAAAATGTGGTAAATACCAACCATCTCCAAGATCTCTTTTATTGATTTTCTCCAAGCATCCCTTTTCTTGATACTGCTTAATAATATTATTGTATTCTTCTCCTGGACTTTTGTTTTTCATTAGCCGTTTTTCCGTATTTTTTAATCTGTTTAACGCCATTGAATACTATTGTCCAAATGTCTATTACCTTTCCATGGTAATTTTAGCTCATATCTTCCGTTCTCAGTTTTTAGCGAATTAGTTACTATATTAAGGGTGGTAGAGTCTTCTGGACTTGTCATTATTTTTCTAAATTGCATCTCTTCGTCGCCTTCAATTTCCCATAATTTTTTAATGGTGTTGTTTGCATCTTCTATTTCCTTTGTACTAGATGTTATTTTCGTAAAATGGGTTTGAAGAGATCCACCAGTACCACCAACACATGTCCATCCGAGCAGCGTGAGTCGAGCCACTGGTTCATTAAATCCTCCTTTTACTTCCTTAATTGCACAGTGCAGCTCAGCGTAATTCACACCAATTAGAATGTCAATTTTTGGTTTTGGTCCAATATTTGGGAATTCGATTTTTCTTAGATGTTTCCAGCTTTTTGACATATTTGCCCAATTAACTGCCTTTATGTTTCCAGTTACATTATTAACTGTAAAAGCTTCCACTGTAATTTTTGTTTCTCCATTCAACGATTCCAACTGAAATTCTACCGGCATCGTTTCGAAAGAATCAATTTTTTCATTTATCATGTTTACAGTTACTTTTTCGGTTTTACCTTGCAGTGACAACTCAGCCGCTACATTAGAGTTCAAATATGTCTTGGTACTTCCATTGTCAAGCAATGCGTTTACCACAACTTTTTTATATCCATTACGAAGAATAACTGGCACCGTTCTAAGAGATATGTAGTCCATGACGTGATTTGAATGAAATTGGATGTTCGACGTATGAGAATTTTCTAATATCGTGTCTTTTTCTTTGTAGTCTTCAGAAATTGTTTCTTTTTTATGACTTTTCTTGTGAAGCAAACGATTATGGGTATCTGTACAGCCATCAATCCCACAAATTCTTGTGTTCCTGCATTCTTTTGACGAATGGTTAGAATTCAAGCATGTAAAGCAGAGTTTATTTTTTTTTAGCTGTCTCCCATCTTTTTTTAATATTTTGATTTTGAAACGTTGGACACTCCCATATTTTATGATCGTTTTTGCAAACAGAACATTTCTGTATCCAATTTATTTTCTTTTTTTGATCAGTGTTACCAAAGTAAGAATTTCCTTCGTGTGCTTTGCTAACAATAGTTTTTTTTAAACCATGTAGAGTTTCGGTGGCTGCAATTTGAAAATCTGCTTCTTCAACAATAAACTTTTTTAGAGTTTTAACATTTTCGTTTAATTTGTTTTCATACACCCATCGTTTGTATCTAATTAACATTATCTCGGGAACTTTTCTTTGCAATTGATGGTTGATTGTCCCATCGCCAAGTTCTTCTGTTCGATTTGCTTCTTTTAAGTTTGTTACTGCCACATCCAACAAATCCGCTAACTTTTCAACGTCTTTTGGATTATTTTCCCTCATAGGTTTAAAGTTGTTCAATTCATCCAAATACATAAAAAATTTTCTCCTTGTTCTGCCATATTTTATTTCAAGTCTTTCTTTTGCAGCTTCATAAGCGAATGACGAATGCCCAAGTCCTTCAATTGCTTTTAATGCGTCTCCACATAAATATTGACGTAACTGAAGTAATTTATACTCAGATGTCGCTGGGGCTTGATCAATGCATGCGTAGAATGAAGCTTTCCAATTTTCATAGTTCTTTTTATCACCATTAAATATTGGTATAGAGACGCGTTTGAGTTGTTTCCATAAATCATATCCATTTTTTGCAGTCTTTTGATCCAAATCAATTATTTCATTTTCCATTTTACGCATGATATGCGTTGATTTGATTGGTTCCATTTCGCTATTCCCATTTTCTTCTTTATTATTTTCATCATACTGTTTATTACTTTTTTGAGTACATTGATAACATTGCTTTTTTGTTTCCATTTTAAGTTCTTTTTCCATCCTTTGTTGTTTTAAACTTGATTTTAAATTTCCATTGCGCAATATCTTCTTTATTATCTTCATTTACATGTTCCATAATTTCCGCAAATTCGTCGTTTAGTTTTTCAATTTCTGTATTGAGATTTCCTACACTTTCTTTCGATTCCAGAAGTTCGTATTTCTTTGATAGTTCAACCATTATCTCGAGAGCTTCGTTTTGAGTCTTTGTTAATTGATTACTCAATTCGCGTAACTCATTTTTACAAGTGGGTTCATCGTCTCCAATTTGCTGAATAATTTGATGTTTAGTTCGCGTAAACGGAGACTTTAGAACTATTTTCTTCCTGTTCAATGCAGATACTTCATTTTGAACGGATAACTGATCTTCCATTTGGTTATTTGATTTTTGATTTTTTTTTTTTACCATTCTTCCGTGTTGAAGAAACTACCCTCTGCTACCAATTATGATCCGATGGCGATCACAAATAATACCGAATATGTATTATAACTTATATTTTTAAGATCTTAACCGTTTTTTTTTACATTTACTATATACTTATATTCTTTATATTTTTGTATCCCAAAAACAACAACAACAAAACTGTATTTATACAAAAAGTTCGTTCAATAACAAAAATACCATTGTTCAAATAGTCGCCACATAATTGTTATTTAGTTCGTTATAGCCATATTGGCGCTATTTACTAGTTATATCGATCGTGATATCGGAATGTTGTTTTTCTTTTAAGCTGATTCAATTTCCTTCCAATCAACTATCTGTGTCAAAAAATTTGGATGCTCTAATTTTAACGTTACTATAGGAAATTTTGATGGGGTTGAAGTATTTGAGTTAGTTGGTCTCTTTATTCTTCATACTATAAGTCAAGACTACGGGTTACAATCTGTCGGATTAAATAGAGATGGTCTTTGTTGTTGGACCACAACAAGAGAATCAAGAAAAATATTGTTCATCTGTTTAAGTAGACTTACTAGCAATAAAGACCAATTTAAAAATTGTACTTTAAAATCTTTGATCTTACCTTCAACTTGTCAGAAAATACTTTCCAGCCATTTAGAAAACCAGGTGACCACCCATTATATATCAACCTAAATTCTAACATCTCCCCAAGTATTATTAAACCCATACCAACTAAGATGTCCAATTATTAGCACTATTTCATCTAGCAAATAGGTTTTTGATAGAGCAACACTATTTTATATCAATGCGTTAGTAGCTAGAGGATATAATGAAAAGATTACTTTCTAAAGAAACTTTGCATCAACAAAACCAAAATCATTATCACGAAATATTACATGGTTTAATCCTCCGATTTCACAAAATATAAAAAACAACAACGCAAAAATTTTCTAAATCAAAAGCTTTTTTCAAAAATACATCAGTTTTGAAAAATCCTTATTAGGAATTTAATTGTGTTTAGCTGTCTTTCTAATATATCCAATATTAATTAATTCACGCAATAAAAAAATATTATTAAATGTTTCGAGCAAAATTGCTCCAACTTGTAACTGCCGCCAACCTTCACTATGTCCTTCGCAACCTTCACTATGTCCTTCGCAACCTTCACTATGTCCTTCGCAACCTTCACTATGTCCTTCGCAACCTTCACTATGTCCTTCGCAACCTTCACTATGTCCTTCGCAACCTTCACTATGTCCTTCGCAACCTTCACTATGTCCTTCGCAACCTTCACTATGTCCTTCGCAACCTTCACTATGTCCTTCGCAACCTTCACTATGTCCTTCGCAACCTTCACTATGTCCTTCGCAAGATATGTGTCTGAGTAAAAATATAATTTACATCTGCAGCGTAAAAACATCACCGCAAGAAAATTTTATAAATATTGCTTAATTTTAAAAATATTGGTTTAACTGAGTTTAAGAAATTTAAAGATCGCTGGTATAAACATAAAAACTCCTTTTATTACGAAAGTAAAACGAACTCCACAGAACTTTCTATATATCTGGGAAATCGAAAAATAGTGATTTTCAAATCTTATTACGTGGAAGATTATTTATAGGGCAGAACGATTTAAACCTGGAGGAAAATTGCAGTGACGAATCCAGCATTTTATAAAGTTTGAAGCTAACTTTGAGACATTAAGCAAACTCCAAATATATGTTTAAACTGTCAAATAATGATGCTTCACAAAATATTGCGATGATTGGAGGCTGGGAACAAAAAGCTCATTAAATTTTGTACCCCAAAAAAAATTGAAGGGCAACAAGTTGATAAAACATTTTTTTTACAGTTCAACAAGACTTTTCATCGATAAATTTTAAGTTTCATAGTAGCATCTCTCAGTCGGTTGCTACGTGCCCTTGAAAATTGAATGGTCCCTAATATTATCAAAAAAACCAACATACTTTTGTTTTTCAAAAGTATGTTGGGTCTCAAATGAAGCGAAATTATATTAAAAAGTCAAAAATATAAATCACTTTACAAAAAAAAATGTTTTTTTCGATTTTAGTGAACAAAACAATAACTTTTTTTGGCACTATTTCAGTTGCCTACCCCTATCATTTTATGATTGATTTTGATAGTTAATTTCATTCTGATTAAGAACCGTATAAAAACATTTACCTGAAAATTTGAGGAAAGCACTCTAAACTGATGTTGAAGTTTAAAAAATTACGCTAATAATCGCCATTTTCTTCATACACGAAATGTGATTAGATTCTTTAAAAACAGCCCGGTTTTTATCAACACTTAAAAAAAAAACTATTTAAAGCAAAACCCATGAGTTTCTAACTGATTCTGACCCAAACCCTAACCCTAACCCTAACCATGTACATTTAATTGCGCCAATCCCTATTTGTCAGTTGATGTATGTACATTTAATTGCGCCAATTTCACTATTTGTTAGTCGATGTATTTACATCTAAAAGACAGTCTCAAAGATTTTTCATTAGAAAAAGTACATATGGGCAATTCCATTTTTAACTTACGTTACACGCGCAACAACTTTATAAAATTTTTACCTATTTAAACAGTAAATTAAGCTTTTAGCTACTTTGTATGAAAGCTGTTAGTCTAAAGAATAAAATAAGCTAAAAAATTTTGAGTC